ATAGCTGACAATGAGTAACATTTTGCACGTTTCATTAATTAACGAACTGATCAGATGATATGCATAGTTTCATCGGTTCAATTGCATTTTTTGAAAAATCTCATATGGCTGCATGATTCAGTTATCTCTCGCTCGTCAGCAATACGTTTGTTCTGGTGTTGCTGTTGCTGTTGATCGACAATTCACTACCATACAAGTGACAAATGTTCATGGTAGTGAACGTCAAAAAGTGACGGGCGAGTGACAAACTCAATCAAGTTGATACTCACTTCGAGTTTCATCAAGAAGAATAAAATCGCGACCATGAAGAAAATACCAGCCAGAAGGATAAGCTTCTTAACTTCTTCATAGCTATCCGGAGATATCCTAAAATTACGAAATTATCAACTATGAAAGTTTCTCCGTAATTCACAATTCAATCAGTCAGTTTGTTCGAATCCGCACAACAACTCGATTCCACTTGATGCGATCTCGAAACAGATTGAAAACAACCGAAAGTTTTGATGTGAATATGGCAAAATTTGTTGAAAATGAGTTGGAGGACAGAACAAATCAAAGACTAATTGTAAGCAAGCAACTGAACAAACGAAACTGCAATTCATCGAAATGAATCGATGGCATTGGTCAATAAATGCGAAAAATTCATGACGAAACCTTTGAGTATCAATGGAGTTGAAAGATTCACGACGATACGGAGATATGTGCCAACGTTCGCTTCTAACAGTGGGGAATGTGGATGGGTATCGCACAGATGGACCTGCATCCATTTGGCATACTAGTTACGTCGTTTCGCTCTGATAAAATACATTAACATCACCAAATAAACAAGCAAACAAGTGAATTCACTCCGAAAATCTAGTCGTTCCTCTCTCACGACAGCTAATCAACACAGTGTTTCGTCAGCGGCTAATTTATATAGCACAGTGTAAGATCGCGAATAATATTCTCGAGCAAAATGTTAATTACAATTGAAATATTGCACATATGATANTTTGAACTGCAATTGAACCACAACATCCAAAAAATTACACTGTTAAAAACTGATATCTTTGCGAATTGATACGATGAAAATGTGATTAAAATTTTAGCGCTATTGACTATTGAAGCCACTAGCAGAAAATAATATCAGCAACATTTTCAAATAGCAAAACCAATATAGTTTCATTTTCATCATCAGCAAATTAAAGATGCTCATGCAATCATATGACTAACGGATAGTAAAAAAGTTGAAAAGAAGCAATCATAATCGTATTTTCGATCAAACAGTAAGTTGCAGGCAATAAGCATAGAGAATTTTCAGTGGAAAGCAGTTGTTGTTCGCAATGCAATAATCAATAAGCAATTTTTCATTGGTTTGCTCATAAAAATTATGGATAAAAACATTCATTTTCATCACTTTTACGTCTTTTGTATTTGATCTCATTGTGTTTTGAACGAGTTTAATGAAAGCCCAAAGTGAACTGACTGAACTGAACCGAATGCACGTTTTGCTGTGTTTACTGTTCGACGGATATTGTTGGATATTGCTCTGAGTTGCATCACTGGAACGTAACAAATTCATATTATAAATAAACACATGTTGTCTACAACCCCAACTGTAATGCTAATAAGTTTAAGAACAAGAGTACTCAAAAAGCAATAATAACAATTCTGGCAATAGTCATAACGATTTCAATTACAATAGCAATGAATTTAATTCAGATACAATCGGCACTAATATTTCCATACATGAAATGATTGGTGAGCGGCGTCTTGCGCCTCAAGGCCAATCTTGTCGTCTGAAGGTGAATTGTCAACCAGATCAAATTCCATGAATCCAAGGTCGAATGATTTTAATGAGGCGATTTTATCAGTCAGCATACAAATGATATTATGACTTCATTATATCGTCACTACACAATGAAATGAAAAATTCATAATAAAATATTCCGTTCGTACTATTTGATTGCGTCAAAAGATGAAAATTAGCAAAAATGAGCAAAATATTCGTCAAAATCAAAGTTTCCATCGCAATGATAAAAGTACAAATATTATTCCTTAAAGGAATAATAACAGCTGCAATCAACAAAAGTGCTTCCTATTAATCATGTTATACATATTGCCATTAACCACTTATTGCCATTATTGCGATCATTCATACCGTCTTTTTGTTGCTATCAACGTCCAAATCAGTATCAGTTCATTGATTTTATCAAAAAATTTTTTCACAAATTCACTCCGATACAAAATCTTCATCGATGCAAAACATTCAATGCTAAACTTTCGGTAGCAGGAAGAACAACAACAGAAGCAAATTCCTTCGTAAAGGTGTGTGTGTGTGTTTGTGTGCATTGCTGTATAAGAATCGAATGAGTATTTGATCTGTGATGCTTTTTAAATGAAAAACGAACGAGCAAATGAAAAATTATGCTCTCATTACAGGTACTGCTAACCGATTTTTTCACTTTACACTATGTGTTTCGATCTAAAAGCAATTTGAGAGCCAAAAAAACAATGTAAGTATTTTTGTTTTCACCCCAACAAAAACATGCTTCTTCGAATAATGATAACGACAATAAATTGTCGTCTTTGCTAAAAACAAAACCGTCCCTAAAGCATCGAAAAAGAGTGCCATGTGAGTGATAGTCATCCGGGGAAATCGTCTGTCTACTCTGGCATAAAATGATGACGAGTTGAGGACCACACTAAACATATGAGTTTCGATTGCTCATTTATTCAGCAATACATTGAGAGACGTAAACCTGTTCGATTCTGTCAGTTTTGTTCTTTGGTACACTGAATGTGAAAGCAATTAATAATTATTCGTTCAGCTATAATTCATCTATTCCGTTGACACAGACAAAAAATGTGCGTATAAATCAACTTTTGATCTTAATACATGAACTTATCGCTCGACAACTAAATAATTCAAAAGAATTTCAAAATGCATGAAGACACAGGATAACTTTCTAAAATTTCAGAAATACCATTGACTGTACGCTTGAGGAGAAAATGTCAAAAAGTCCAAAAAATACCACTGACATGAGGCGATAGTCAACCGACCGGTGGCGTTTATTTATGTATATACTTGAAATACTCATACTGTGCTAGCATTATGACTGTTCCAATCGATGCTGACTAAATCAGTTGCCTGCAGCAGCTGCTTTTAGGAACTGCAATATAAAGCTCACAGGTTTTAGATTGCCGTTCTTGAAGCAGTTGCGGTTCGACAAGAGATTCACGCATTGCTCAGTATTTCATGCTCAATTCACATGGTATCTGGGTTTCTTTCTTTATATTGTCTCATTAATTATACGAGGTAATTGCACATGAAGTGTTAATTACACGAGGTTGTGTTTACCTTACATCTATTGCATCAAAGTGTAGTAGTCTGCCCAGCAGGCGATTTCTTTCCAACGCTTCTTAAGTTTATCGATACAAATTGCGATACTTCATTCAAAAACTGATTGGATAATTCATTTTCGAGATTTCCTATCAGATTGAATGTCGAATGAAGTGAATGTCCAAAAGCGAGTTGTTGAATCAAGATCAATACTGAATGATTGGTACTAAGAGCATGAGTTTTTAGCGATAGACGAGCGAATAATTTGTGAATACTTTTAACTATACGAAAGTGAATGAATGTTTTGAGAGAATGAATAAATGTGAAAACAATTAATAATAAAGGAATGAATGGCAGCGACAGGTGTGTTGATTGCAGCAGCAAGCTCGTGACTTCAGACCGTTCAATAAATTTTTATGGCTTTTCTGATTAGTGATAATGTGATAACGGAATACAGCAAAATCAGTAACAGATGTGCTCGAGACTGTACTCAAACGTGCTTTAGATGTGTGTTCAAAACTCGTTAACTGCACACCGCATCCAAAATGTTCCTTCAAAAAAAAANATAATAATAATAATAATAATAATAATAATAATAATAATAATAATAATAATAATAATAATAACAATAATTATATTAATGGCAAGAATAACAATACCAATGACAAAACCGTCAAAACGAACATCAACAATAAGGTTGATAACAATGACTGCCATTGTAGCATAACGACAATAACAACAATACAATAATCCAGCATTGAATGCTGATAATAACATGATAATAATCACAGTAATGATAAGAGCAGTACTACTGATAAAGCGCTAATGATAACAATCGGATGTGAGAATATGGCACATGCGATTGACTGAATAATGCATTCACGATAATCCATTGGTCTGATGCGTTCCCTTCACACCCATCCATCCGTCCATCGAACAATATCTACCCGATCAGTTCAGTGTGTACAATCACTCCTCAACCAAACTTCAAATACTGGTTTTTACATCACTCATTATATCGTCAACCATCGCATGTATACACCTTGAATTATCATACCGAAATTCATATTACTCTTTTTGCTATTATTATAGTATTGTACCAAAATTCACAATCAATATCATTGTATTTGCTATAGCAATATTTAAATTCATTATTAATAGCATTATATTGTTTGTGCATTGATTTACATATCATCCGTCATAATTACATTGAGTATTATCAATTTATTTACATACTATGCATGCAATTGAACATACCAATGAAATGATAATTACTGTCTATGAATGTGCACGAAATTAATAACACATGATCGCTGTAGACTCGTACATACAAAACACATTTTCGATAAGAAATGAATGCATTCATATTATATAAAGCAATTATTTACAATCGTTAGATGCATATTGTACACATCCCCTATACCTGAATACCAATCCATTGCGTTCTTAATACAGCCATTCGAGCATGCCTGACCTATTTTAAACCACTACAACCATCGGACTTCCTCTTATTTCACGTGTGCTACGAATCTTGTGAGCGTTCCATTGCAATGTCTATTCTAAAGTAATTCAACACTGCGATTGCTTATTAGCACGTATCAATGAATTATAATTAACGAACAGCATTGAATATTAATGATCACATTAATTACGATTAGAGATCATTGGACATTAATGATTAATGATCACTAATTGTAATTAATGAGCATTAATTATGTGTAGGCGTTATGTGCTATAATCAGTATCACCAATACTGCAGTCATTTTACGATATATTATCAGTATATCGCTACAATTAGAATCATCAGTGTATCACAATTTGATCAAGGTTATTGCTAAATATCAACAAAAACTATAAATAGACTTCCGAATTGATCATGTGAATCGGCCAAGGATATTGTGGTTTATCACATTCATTATTACTGTTATCACCTTTTTAAATTGATGATTAGTAATATTGTTACAACACATTTTTGACTTGAACTCATCTGCATTCAATTAAATATCAAGTAGATGATTTATTTTCAAATTTTCTCCTTTGAATTACAACATCTTGATTTATCGAATTATTCCGCTTGTTTCGAGTTTTTCACATTATACCTCTTTCGTCAAGCTTATTAATTTAATATCGTAGAGTACATTGACTGTAAATGTAGATCAATTCAATTGTGATTGTGAGCGGTTATGTGATAATCTAAGAATGAATAATGTTAATGTGATGTAGTTATCCAATCATTCAATAACAATGCGAATTTATTCATCTAAAACTCTTCTAAGCTAATGGCAGAATCGTTTTATAAGCCGATTGAAATAAACGAGTTTTGCAGTCGTTCAGCTGATATCGCATTCCGATTGAATGCATCCCTACTTTCAGCGAACGAAACGTCAAAATCACAAAGGCCTTGAAGAAAGTCATTTGCAAGATGAATAACCGTTCATAAAGCATTTATTGCATCGTTGATAACATGAGTACAATGCTGATCACAGATGGCAGAATATTCCGATAAATTTTCAAAAACACTAAAATCTCTGGCAAAAAACTGACAAACAACAAATGATATCAGCCATAAAAAAGAAGAAAAATGTGATATTTGTTAAAGAAGAGAACAAAAAGAGTAGAACAAACAAATGAACGAAACAATGAAATGGAACAATTAAAAGCTCAAAATTGATATTCGAAGCATCCATGGAAAATGAAAAAAACGAAACATTCTCATCGAAAAATCCTTCAACAAATGAAGCAATAATCGCAACGGAACAAACATCCCATGTTTATACTCATTCGCATTGTTCTTATCAAACAATGAATTTTAGCACTCAATTAACACATTCAAAAACTACCCGAACGAAAATGAAAACAACCTTCAACTCAAAAAAATAATCAAAATCAAAGCAAGACATACGGAGGAGATTTTGAAGAAATGCCGCGTTGAAGTCAAAAAACAATTATCTCAAACAAAGAGTAACTTTCAACGTAATCAATTCGCAACAAATGTAAACAATTTGCGATAATAAAATCTCCTTATCACTTTTAAAACAGAAGTGGAAACACAAATCTATCAAAAAAATTCCGCTTATCATTCTTTATCAATTTTGCTTATCAGTTGTCTCGTTCAGCTCTATTGTTCAATCGTGATCATTGAGTGAATATTCACTTTCATAAACAGAGCAGAAGTTTGATTTTCAAAAACTTTACTTTGTCAAATGTTCAATGAAGCAATCGGATTGCACACTTGGAAAAAACAAATCAAAGCACAGTTGGATCTTATTTAGTATCACATGTACTATTCACAAAGCAAGATGAATGAATAAAATAATACAAAATCAACGAAAGTAAACCATAAACATAATACATAATCAGGCAATAAAATGAACCAATGCAAATGAAATAATCCAACTGCTACATTTACCAAACACTATCAAGTTTCTGCGCATAATGAATATCTCGTCATCATATTATCAAGCACTTTCCATATGCTCAAGTCATTCGTTTGCGTATATCATCTTCAACTGAAATCCATAGTGAAAACAATAAATGAATTGACATTATCTAAAAGAGCAGATCAGACTAAATTAAACTAAACACAACTTCGAGAAATGAACACAAATAAGATAAACACATAACAAAAACACTTGAACATTCGAACAAATTGATGAACAAATAAACAGTAAATATCTTTTCACTCGAATTCAATGCATCACTAATGGAGTCAATCTTATTTATCTCACGAACACATTTCAATTGAAATGATATATTAACCTCTTTCACAAAAAAATTTTCAACAACATTACCAAGCACCTTTGAAATAATGTCGCTACACTACATAATTTTGAATGCTTTCGACAAAAAATCGCTTGCTAAAAATATTCATATCTGCAGAAACGCACGATGCTACTGAAATTTACTACTGATAAATATGATGAGGCAATGATGTCAACAACACTAAATGCTCATCAAAAGTTTGGCGGTGCTCTTATCAATCTCATCGCAACAACGCTTATCATCGAACACGTTTCTGCTAATCACTTGCTACCACATCCCCTGATTACCCAGTAACTCAAATCTTGCAATTCCATCTGATCACGAGTTTATCATTCGTTGAACGACTATCAGAGCAGTCTGATGACGACTTTCAACTCCTAATGACACATTATAGTCCGAATTTATTCTTCTATTCAGTATCTGAATGAACTTCTGAAATATTACCCAATGCAACTTACGATTTCTGTATACCAGATCCTATTGTTTGCGTTAAAGCCACAAGAAAAGAGCACCAACAACATTAGCTGAATAAAATTCATTCAAAAATTCCAAACTTCCATCGATCACAATATCAAATGAAGATCCGTAATATGACGACACTCAAATGATTTCAACGTCCATAACTTCTTGGATAACGACAATAAAACAAGAAGAAAACTGAGTGCTGACAATGAGCAGTCTCAATAACATTGAAATTAATCAAACAAATGAAACAATGGAAAATATTTCAAAATGCGAAAAAAAAAACGAAACGAAATGAAAACATATAACACAATGTCAAATTTCAATTTCAAATACCTTGATATGCACTTTATCAAACGGACATCGCTTTATACTATAGGTTGTTACACATCAATACTTCCAGTCTATTAATCTCGTTCACATATAAAATGCACGGTTTCATATAATCATAATGAAATAGATAGCAAAATCTGTGTAGATTTAAAAATCTCATCAAGATATACTGCAATAACACAATATTGACTCATTCATCAATTGCTCAAAACAAGAGCAGACTGATACAATGATACAAGCGAAACTCCAAACTCGCACGGATTTACAATTCAAAAAACACACTCAAAAAAAAAACAACAACGATCTCAAAATCTGCACAAAAAATACGATGCAATCGGTCGCAACAAACTAAATTCGAACTGGATAAATGAATTCAAAAGATAAACTGCACACAAACAAATTCTCACAACATAACCATCAATTATCAATCAATATCACCAAACATCTATTGAGCAATCAATGCATATTAACCAACAAAAAATGAAAATTCTTCAAACGTAAAACAGCGAAAAACAAACAGAGAAAAAACTCAATTCCACAAAGTCGTAGTGAGTGGGTGAAAGACAACTTTCTTTTTCTTTCTCATACTATTGGAAAGAATTTGTCGGATTCTCAAAAATAAATTTGCTTTCTTTTTCGACTGAAGCGATCATCTTTAGTATGAGAATCTCATCTCCTTTGTTCAAACTATCATCAATATGCATATTTCCACTTTTTCTTATTGTTAGACTGAAAAAAAATTCGACTCTAATATCATTCAGAGATTTCTTCTCAGTTGTAGGCAGCCAAACGATAAATACATAATCAAATCCACTGCACAATGGATTTCTTCTCAGGCAGCTTAATCTTAATCTAAAAATGCAATTTAGTAGACTCCATTCAAACCTTTCTCTAAGCCACAAGCAAAACCTTTCAAATGAAGCTAATCAATTTAAATAAACAACGAAACATGAATGAAATTTCTTTTTATGACACATTCAATCCCAATCAAATACAAATGAAAATCATTTCAAACAATAAAACACGCAATGAATTAATCTCTCATAAACACAACACACACCATATCAAATAGTCATTTCATTTATCTGCACACCCAAACAACACTATCCCTCTTTCCAACAACTAAATTTCATCATAGAAAAATGTGCACAAAAAACGGCTGCCTCACCGAAATAAAATAAAATAAACAATTTTCTATAAAACTTTTCTATCAATTTCCTTGCATTCACACTTTCAACAAAACAATTCGAAAAAAATTGAATAAAATGTTCTTTAACTAAACACAATAAAATAATGAAACCCGACAAATCAATCTCATTTCCTATTCCTTCTCCCCGCTTTTCCGTAAATAAACTTTCCACAATGACACCAGACATCAATTCATCTTCTCTGCATCAAACATTATCAAATCTTCTGCATACATCTAAACTGTTACATCCATAAGAATATAAATGAAAATTCCATCTCATTTGCTCACTTCCATACTCGTAATTCCTATTCCCAGAACACCAATCAACGCACTGAAGGACACTTGTCAATATTGAGTGTATTCATTCCATTTATCATCCAATTCTTCGAACACCTCCAAATCAGTCAAAAAAATCTTGCAGCAGTGTCCTCCTCTTACATTCGGCCACATGCATTTGACTCTCCAAATCGCCGCGTTCCGTACTCTCGGCCCGTTCCACCTTCCACGACAATTCCTCAATCTCTTTCTCCAGTTGCGCTTGTTGATATTCGAACTGCAAAAACACAAACTCAAAATCACAATCGCTCTTTTTAAAAGTTACATCTCAATAATATCCCATCATGAAATCATCAAAATTACTTCAAATCCCCTAACTGCTGCTTCAAATCGAATCACATATCATCAAAATCTTTAAAGCCACCACCACAATCAGCCTGAATCTCAGCCGGTAGCTAACCGATCCTTCAAAAAACAAACAAAAAAAGATTCTTAGCCGAGTCTTCGTTGGTTAGTAATATCTAATCATAACATCAAAAATGCCATAAACCATTCACAATTTTAACTAACCAACTGTTTCCTCGGTCCATTCTCCATATAATACGCGTACGGATATGTATACTGAAGTGTGTATCTGCATTTCGTCAGTAAGGTCGCAGCACGATGCAGATGTTGCCAATCAATCCACGTGCCCTCATGTCCGTTCACCTTCTCATCAATTTTACGCATTATACTATTTCTCAGCTCCTCTTCCAGCTTCAGTGATTTATGATGGTTCTCGTAACGCTCTGAATTCAATCAATTACCATTTTTTACTTCAAACTCAAACCATCTTCAACTCATTTCATACATTCAAAACCCCGCTAAGCAAACATGTCAGACCCATTCAATTCGTTCAATGCAAAACTAATTGCAACAATATACAATCTTCAAACTGCTTCAATCCTATGACCTTTCAAAATATGAGACTTAAAGTAAAACCTCGAATATCTCTGATATCATCAAATCAATAGTCGTTTCAATATTCAAACAGAAAAAAATCTTCTTTCCGCACTTTGACATATCACCGTCGAATGATTTTAGAATATTATACCGCTGATATAAACAAAACAAAAATCAAATCAGAACAAAATAAACAACAGCAAAAACAGAAATACACATCACAAAATCAGTCTCACCATAATAATGAAGGTATTTTTCGAGTGCACGTCGCGCCTTCACATGATTCGCTTCTTGCGCCACTGATGGATTCTCCTTATAACGACTACACTCATAATATTCACTACCGTGCGTTTTCCAATCTGAAATCCCATAAACAAACTTTCATTATTTCGCCACATTCCCAGCNATGCAAAAAGCAAAGAATAATAAAGTTTCACCTCCGAAACACATCCAACAAAAATGATGTTTACACTTCGCACACTGCATATGATTACATCCACCGTTTTTTTCAATACACGAATGACAATTCGGACAATCCTTCGTGTGGGCACTTAAGAAATAACTCTGCACAATTGTCACAAATTCGACTTTTCAGTCCCAAAAAGATTAATGAAGGAACATTGAAAATAAAATCCCCTCCACACCTCCATAACAAAAATCAAACATCAAACAACTCACCTAATATAATTGGCAGTCTCACTATCGTCGGCACATTTGATAAGCCACATTCGTATTGTTTCGCACGATGTTGGAGCATGATAATCGTTTCCACACAAAACACTCAAAACACCCTACATTATCACATTTGAAACAACATTTCATTTTTTCATACTTCCGAATGAGTCTATTCAACTGTTCATATTATAAAAACTGCAATTTACAAATAAACCAATTAAAAATGAAAAAATAAATCCGTGGTAAGGTGAAATTTATTCAATATATGAAATATAAACATTTTAAACTTATGATGAATGAAATGAATATTATCAAAATAATCAAATGAAATGAATGTTATCAAAAAATAAACCAACTAAATAAAGAAATCAATCCATGGATAGGTGAAATCTATTCAAAAAGGATATCAAAATACGCACACTCCATGAACGCAATCAAATTTACTCGAAACTGATTATTAAACTAAACGAATCACCAACGCAAAAACAATAAATCTTAAAGCTGAACTCACCAAAAAGACGTTCGACATTTGACACAAGTGACCCTTTTGGCTTTTTGCGATTTGGCCATGACAATCATTTGACAATCACGACCCGGACAGAAGCGAAGTTCGGGATGTGAGGTGACCAGATCTCGAAACACAAACTCTTTGTATTTGGCACGTAGATCGTTTCGGTCCGAGAGCACTTCCATGACGAAATCCTCGGGACACAGTAACGCACACTCACTTGCCATACAGCCCATTCTGCAAGTGAACGAACGAATCGATCATGATCAATATTTGATCCATGCAACTAACAACAATTCAACAATGTTCAATCTTCAGGACATAGAACATCAACGCTCTTCGTCTAAAGATTTCAAAAATCTTGCTGTTATCTTTACTCATTCTGTTCCGGTGACTAATCGTCAATAAGCCCGTTCAGACGTTCAATTTACATTCCGCCGAGATCGAATTCATTCAAATGAAGTTCAACAATGACGAAGTGTACAATAAGCATTCAAAAATCATAAGTTATATTCAGATTCATCAAAGTCATATTGAAAAAATTCACTACAATCAGAGCAATTTCCAAGCACAGGAAAGAATATAAAAGATTTCCAAGCAATTCTTACCTAATCGAAACGGCGTTCGACAACTGCGTTTCCGTATAGGCCTGCCAACAGGCAACACAAAATTCATGACCGCAATGCAACGCGGACATCTTCCCGCAGTCTCTCCTCCAACGGGCACACACTCCACAACGTGCACAGTTCTCCTTTTTAAGCCCACCACCGTTACTTATCGAACAGATTTTACACTCTAAAATTCATCAAATCATAAGCATCGATCACTCACGAATTATTATATTAGGTCAGTCAAAAACCGATTTCGATTCAAATTGATATAAATAAATTTAAAATGGGACAAGAAATTTCACAAATTAACATATTTATAGGTGATGAAACTCACGATCAGTAANTAAATTTCATAGACATTTATATGATATTACAAACACATGATGAATGAAAAGAATATTGCCACAGATAATCGAATTCAATCAAAAGAGATTTTAAAGTGATCTTAAAATACCTGTGAGAGTTTTCTTCGGATTGCTTTTGTACTGATCCACCAATGCGGCTTCGTTCCATTTGTGCATATACAACAAAAGTTTTGATATTGATTGGGATATATTTAACAAACCAGCGACCCGTTCTATCGTTTCATTAAGTAGACGTTCAACCTGACAAATGACACAAAAATTATTTCCGTTTGAGTATTATATTTATCACCCGCATTCTTACTGTCAAAACATGAAATTAATCACAGTTGCTGAACACTTAATAAAAGCTCGAAATGAGCGAGAATTATTTGATGAAGGCACAAAATTCCTCAACTAAGACTGCAAAGAATCCGAACCATTTATTCACCTCCCTTCCTTTTGAAATATGAAAAAGCATGTTCTAATTTTTTGCTATGTTATGGATGATAATTCACTACGATACGATAATAACAGACGACTGATATTGACGGTAAAAATGAGGGAACCTGAGGGACTGTGAGGCAGTTATATTCGATATATTCGGGATCATCATTTTCTGGTGCTGTTTCTATATCACAGCTTTCACCAACGTCATACTCTGTACCGTTGTAATAGTCATCTGAAAACCCAAAAATTATATTTAACGAAGTCGATCGTCATATCAAAATATATCAACGAAAGCATACAGCCCTATCGCACGAACAAACTCCCGTGAAACGAACAATCTAAATTCCAATGAATAGGAAATCTTTATGAATCAAGAGGACCGATAAGATTGGAATCATTCGGGATACCATCAAAATAACAATACTGATAATAACGATAAAATTAAAACTAGACGTGACTCACCAAGGTAGTAATCCGCATCATCGTCAGAACCAGATCCGCTATCGTTAACCGATTCGTTGCTATTCATTATTTGTTTATATACTTAGTTAACAATAAATAATACGGATAATAACAAATTTATACACAAATAACGATCCTCCCCAAACGCGGATCAATCAATTGTTGATTCACCAATCAATCAATCGACGAATTCTGCAAAACACTTCGTCTTTAGTGAAACTCCTGAACAACCTATCCGAAAAGCGAATGAAACTCAGGCTGCGTATCAGGCGATATGATAAGATAAGTGCACATTTGTTTACGAGTGTCACTGGATTTGACGATATAATTCCAAGCATTCCAACAAGTGTTTCATCTTGTGGCGAATCGTTTTGCAGACATCACATTCACTGCTGGATAAATAATCTGACTGGAAGTGTGAGCTGAAGGAAGGAATAGAGTGAAGACTACTGGGAGGATTATGAACGAGAGCAATTCAGTGATGCGGCTGCAGTGAATGAGAAAAGTATCGTGGTATAGTGAAGCTGCAGTGCAATACTCAAAATAAGGAACGAGATCGATGAGACATAATGGGAAATGGACATAAAACTATAGAAAGAATGAATAGAACAGAGAAGGGAGAATGATTTCCAGTGGAATTACCATTCATTGCACAAGATGAGTACGTTTTGTATGTACAACTCTCCTCTCACAGTCTCTAATTGATTCTCGTCTCTGATTTCCATTATGTCTTATCACTCTCGACCCTTATTTTGCTGAATGCATGAAAGTTGCACGATGTTGCAATCATTTTCTCAATCACTTCAATCACATCACCGATTCGCTCTCATGCATATTTCTCCGAGAAATCTGTACTGCATTTATTTCTTAACCCTCCAATTTCATCGCGACTTGCTTTTCATTGAAGAGGAGGCGTTTGGCAGAGTACGACCAATTGCAAAGTTTTGCATCTAACATGGAATTTTCATAGATAACCTCATTGTCAATTAGTTAGCACTTCTTGATAGCTTCTCGTTGGTTATTGAGACGTATTCAGGGATTTATCGTACTCTTGTTATCCAAATGCTTATATTCTATTAATTCGAACTTCGCGTGTTAAAGGATTTAATTGGTTTATAATCCTTATTTTGCATTGATTAGCTTATTCTTGAATCATCGAAAGTCTTCACATCTATCATCTGAGTTTTTTGATTACGAATGTCACTTTTTGAAATCTTCTTTTACATGTCATATTTAAAGTTATGCTCAATGTCGAAACTAATTTTAAAAATTGCCTCATTACTGTCCTGAAATTGATGTGATTTGTTCATGTTCCATTGGATTTCATTCTGATTATGATCATGTTATTGAAGAAATGAAATTGTTTGAATAGCATAATGTTTGAAGAAGAATTCCAATAAATCCTTGAACAACGATAGGTTCTTGTCGCATTTTAAACAGGACACTGCAACAGCATATAACATTTCGTGATCTTTGGCTGGAAGAATTCTCGTAAAAATGTATAACTGCATCATATGTCTTATCATACAACAGCTGAATCCAGTCAAATATCGGTGTATGAGCATTTCTCAAGTCATCGATCCGATCCTTTATTGCTTCTGTAACAATCCAATAAAATCTGACAATGAGTTGTCCAGAAATTGGAACCATTAAAAATCGCTGTTGAACGATAGTAATTGTTGGCTAGAACCGTTCTGGAATGAAAGCACCACTTGAAAGCATACACACTTACACGTATCCATTGGGCCATTCATATCCCTCAAAATCAAAATGATTCTCTCAATCCACGAGATTCAGTTGTAATGCACACATATGCAAACATGATGATGATGATGATGAATCTGTTTGTATGCGTATTGTTGAAGTTCAATTAAATATTCGTGTTTCGAGGAATTTTATGCAATTGATCCAATAACAACTGTCAAAGTGTTATGAAACATTTGGATTTTAACAGCAAATGACTTGTTAAATCAGTTGATTGCGTTATTCATATCGGTACAACAACACTCAAACTCACTATGAACTATTCATCAACAATTTATCAAGATTCCAATGAGTTCTCCAATTAATTACTGCAAAATGTCACTCAGTATAGCAATTATTCAAGAATTAATCACTGCATATTTTCGTCTTGAAGTGTTGTACTCTAGCACTTTAAACAGTTCTGTTCTTAGCTGATTGATAACAAATGCAATCCTTTCAAGCACTGCGATCGCAATCACAAATCTTAATCAGTCAAGAGATGCGGACAGCTGATACGAAGACAGTACGATGTATCCTTCTAAACAGTTGAAATTCTGACAGCTTCAATTCGATGTTGTCCGTTGTAAATGTTGATTATGCAAACCCAACAAGAAAGAATCTTGTAAGCGGTAGTACGGAATGATTTCCACGGCCTCAAGACGAGTTTACTTTATTGTTTCCCAGTCTAATTTCAGCGAGTAATAACACCATCTATTTACACGTAATTCAACTTGTAATAACACCATACTGCAACTTGTGATAAGAGATTTCTCTTGCTTTATCAGCACATTGTCACCATACATTTATTGCATTCTATTCCTAATGGATTCTCGTTGAGCACTGAAATAAACTTGAGTAAAGATATTATGCAAATAATGAATGAAGTCGTTTTATTGAATCAAAATCATCAGCAAAACATCAATCATTTGATAATAAGGCATTGATAAGGCAACGATTCAAGCAATTCTCAGCATCAATCAGAGGCAGTTTTCAGCATTTAATTAGTTCGAAATGAACTGAAACAAAGAAGAAATAAATTTAATGTGAAATATGCAAATTACAAAGCATTCTCGAACAGTTCCGATGCATTATATAATAACAATAATAATGATTAATTATGTTACTACTATCGCAACAACGATAATTATAAATAATAATAGCGACTGTTATTATGGCCGTTCTCGAGGGTATATATTCGCATCTGACTGAATATCAACCAAATAAATAACAGCTTTTCTGATCCATTAACTGCGCACACTTCTTCGGGCACCTCTTTGCGCACCGCAACCTAACAACGCTCTTGGATCTCACCTGAAATACATTCAATTCAGATCGGAATACATAATACGTATTGAAATTTCGATCATACGATCCGCTCATTGGTTTTAAAGTTTCAAGGAAGTTTTCCGATCCTAAGAGTTAAAATTTTCGATCATAAGAAGTTTCAAACGATCCGGTTGTAATCGAGAAATGGCATGTTTATGTGCTTTGAAGCACTTTGCACGATGAATATTCATATTGAAGTCAATAGATTGCATTGAAGTTTCTCACAGATATCCCGAGGATATGGATATCACCAGAAATCAACTAAGCACATACTTCGTATTCATGAATCTCATGATACCTCGAATCAAACACTTACAAAATTCAACCAGTTCCACAGATAACGTTGAATTTTCTGGTAAAGACAGATCAGAATTCAAAGCAATCTCAACTAATTAACATAAAGTGACTGAGAAAGTGAGGAAGAATACAATTTCGTGCGTTTCACTTTTACCGATTTTTAATATTGGAACAGCAAAAGCAAATGGCCAGTTTTAAAGAAGAAAGAGAAAAGTATTGAACTAATTGCTGACCTTCTTTAAGGCCGAGGCATTTGCCCCATTCCATGATGGAGATATTGCCATCATTGTTCGCATCACAACTCTCCAGGAATGGCTTTATGCAAGATTCCATCGGGATTACGGGTGCTGTGATCGGGATCAGTTCGTGATGCGATACGTGCTTATCGTGTGGTTTAATGTCGAGATCGCAGAATTTCCAGATTACCGGATAAACGTGTTTCTTTTCGTCATCGCTTTCAGCCTCTGAGATCAACTCTTCCCATTCCATGTTGTGCAGTTCACGGCGTTTCTTCAGCTCACGCATTACCTGAAACCTCGACGGATGCTTTCATTCATTCATTTCGATTATTTCTTAATCATATTAAACAAGCGACTCTTGCGTACAGTTCAAAATTGATAGCGCAATATATTCAATACATATGATCTACAGCTCAAAACCTAACTCACAAATGACTGATTAAATCTGAAAGTGTCGCAACAAATTGTTCCAGAATTCAGCGGAAGGCTGGCTACAGCTTAAATGAGAAGATTACTTATATAACAGATTGATGCAAATGTATGTTCAAATCCGACGCTGCAGTGTATAATTTTTCATTTTGCATAACTATTCGTGATTTCTCGACTCTGATTAGAATTCCCCAGATATTCACCAATCACGTCGACAGAAATTCACCGATTAATCACATTATATTTATAAACTAGCCGAAAGCAACCAACAAATTGTCGCCTTTGATGATGGAAAATCAATCGAAATGAAACTAAAATTAGCAAACAAGCAAAAAAANAAAAAAAGACCTGGAATAGCCAGTCAGCCATACGAGTTGGGAATTGCGCCATGAGTTCATCAGTACAAGTGTCGAGTTGTTTACAAGGGCCCAAGTATTCCAAATGAACTTTTGCATTTGCCTTGTTGGTGCACTCTTTCGACTTTCGCTTGCACAAGCATCGCTCACGGTACAGATCGCACAGAGACGGGAAAGTCTCATTCGTGTTACTGCACACCTGAAACATAACCACGATGAAATTTATCAGTTCATCGATACGCATGCATTTCAACTGCAACACTTTCACTTATATTAAATCTGCATTGCGCATGTATGACGTTCAATTATTCACTGAAATTCCACTCATAATCGGATGATTAGTTAAAAGTTATAACTGCAACTTTATATTAGAAGTAATTGCAAGTCTGTATTAGAGGAAATCAGCAAAGATGACTGCAACATCAAGTATTCAAATAAATTTCCAACAATCATAAGAAGACCCTACATTGCAATGGCCACGAGCATTGCTCAAACGAAATATTCAGTTTATTACAATCGTACCATTCTTAAACCATTGCTTAATGAATGTCTTCGAAGTAGTGCATAAAAAGGCGTTGCTACCTGATCAAATGGATCATCATCAAGCGGTGGACACTTCGAGATGCATTCACAGGTGGGCTCACCTCCTTTTCCAACCACACATTCCTTTCCCCATCCACATACTTGATCCTTGCATGGATTCTCCAGTTTTGGTGCTAAAATCGTTTATTTTACACATGATTTTATGTACTTAGAGATCATATTAGTTCAGAATAATGTGTGAATCAATAAAATATATCATAATTCGTTGACTGAGTGCTTGAACTCGCGATACTTCTCAAGTTTCATGAGTTTTGGAACAATGCAGATCCATTCGGATAGAAGAAATTTTTCCGAGAAGACGGCAATATGACAGAGAGATATGGTGATATCTAACTTCTGCATACACCGTCCCATCAAAAGAAATTTTTTTCGAGGAGATGGTGAAAGAATGTAATAATAATGATTTGAAGTAATTTTTGGCTCAAAAAATCGAAAATTCAGATAAATTCAGGTAGTGATAATCTCCATTTATGTGACGATATGAAAATGCAGATATTAAGACGATAATAATGATCACACAACCAAAGGTACTTACGTGCTGGAGTTGCTGGAGCCTCTTCTGGTTCATCGACTTTCTCATCGATGTTCTCCAAGAGCTTCTCTAGTTCATCCCAGTCATTCTCCTTCTTCTGAATATAACTCAATTTCAGTTACACTTCAACAAACAATTCAATACAATCCTTTTCAAAATNTTTTCATATACCATCTGCTCCAGTTTTGATTTGATTTCTTATTTCGGTAAATGATAATGATTTATTCGTGCAAATTTCCTTGGGAATGCCCGCAAGTCGAAGCACTCGTCACTCACCGGGACAAGATTCGGCTCAAAATTTTTGGTCTTGAGCTGAGTCTTTCGTAAACTCAGATTCGTCTCGAAAGCAGTCACGATGTAGATCCTAATCACATTGATCTACTCATAAGGTCATTGTACGCTTATGCAGTAACGGTCAGCGCTTTTAATAAATCAGAAAGACAAAAAAGTTCGAAATTATTGCTCATCATTTCAAAATGACCAATTTCGTCATCTGCTTTAATAATTCTAATATGGTTTGTTGTTCAGTGTTTACTAATCACAAATTTGCATGAACAAATCATGATACTACCACTTTCTCTAACAATAAATATTTTGTCAGTATTTTCCATGACTTATTGTTATCGTGAAATATCCCTCAACCGCTCTCAACATATCTGAGAATATGATAGGCAGCAGCACTTTAAAAGTTGCTTATGTTTTATGCATATTCTGTTATCTCTATTGCACTTATCCGCATTTACTCCATGCAGAAAAGATCTGTGCAGTTTTGTTTATTACATTAACTTTTCCTAGTACAATGTTTTATGTCAAATGAATCTCTGTTCATAAAAGAGAGTGAAATCGCTCTCTCATTACTTACGAACTGTCATCTTATTCATCCTGGCAAAACGGATGATAATGAATGCAATTTCTAATTCACTTACTCAATACAGCTGATTCATTTGGCTTTGCCGCTTCTATTTTCAGTTCGAACAAAATCATCCAGTATATTGAAATAGTCACGAAAACCTCATGAATTCAACTGATCCAGCAGATGTACTACATTTTACACTCGTATCTAACAGTTATCTATATCTTCCACTAATATATTAATCGTGGATGCTTTTACTGGATTTGAAGTCATAAAATCTGAGTAGAAACGTTCCTGAAGTTGCGATTTAAATTTTATCTGCTTTCGCTATGAAGGGAAAAGATCTTGAAATGTTTCCTCAATTACGTCCCCCATTAAGTTTCCTCAAACTTTCTTTAGAAAACATTATTGGAAGTTTTGTTCAGTCTCCTTAATGCTCAATCGAAATAAAATTTATTGGTAGTAAACGTAGCTGTAGGTAACATTCGATGTAATGTGAGAATGAACGAAAATCTATGAGAAGCTGACTGCGAAACGGGAGAAAAGATGAAAATAAAGAAATAAATCTCTAAAGCAAATCACTGCTAAAGCTCTACTAGGTTAATGCAATCATAAAATTGATCTCACAGGTCGCATAACAATCAGCTTGAGCGCAAACTGCTTTCTGTTTACAAATCCATTTGAATTAAGCGATTTCTTAACACTTAAATTCATTGGCAATTGATTTCTGCTTCAAATCTTACAATCGGTCGATTCTGCGATAAACATAATAACGATGCAAGTGAACCCAATAGATACTTGTGATTTGAATCAGAGTCACCTGTAAATGATCTCTTTTTAACGCCTCAAGAAAGATGTTCCTCGAGAAAAATGCTTTATCTATTCAACAGTCTAGAAGTTAATCTGATGCAAACTAAATCATAGATTGCCCCAGACTTAGCAATATCGATGACATTGGTACACGAGTTAGTTCCGAGCAAAACACCCAGTTGCAAGCGGAAACTACGGGTGCGATTCCCGCATACGAGGAGGAGTTTTGCTCGAAATCGGACGCTGTACCGAAGTCACTCAAAACATCTTCAAAATCTGCTCAAGGTTAAATCTTGCTCAATTCAGTTATTTGAAAGGTGCAAACTATTGTAAATTATTTCGCAATTGGATCTGTCTATGACAAGATTTAACTGGAGATCTTCATTCTCCATATTATCAGTATCAAATTTTCCGACACATTATTCCAGTACATAGATTTTCGTTCAGAAATTCAACATTCCCTTTTATTCTCTTTGTTTCCATTAGCACAGCGTTATAACATCAAGATGGTGAACCGTTTGGGCACGTGCGTTGCTGTTTGTAATAATATCATTGGAAAGAAACGACCAAAAGAAAGCAGCAAAAAAAAAATCACAGACTCTGACAGCATTGTATAGTGTTAATCCATCACTCCAGCATTTCTTTGTCGTCGTTTTTTTCTGTCCTGCTGATTCAGCAAGAAATCAGCTCAAAGCAAAAATTTCCCTTCTTTGAACTAGATACTTCTCATACTTCAGTAGGTTTCTCTTTCCTTATTATACTGAACTCCATTGTGTTTTCGAATGAGTCTCCAATGTGTTTTATGAATGCTCGAAATCAAAAGCTTCTAATATGACAGCAGATCCACTTAATGTCATTGTAGTTATCGGTTTCCGCCTTTTTTTGAAACACAAGCAAAATTCCTCTAAATCCATCAAATTATGCTCTTCAACTATCGGAATGATCAATTTTTACGATGGATTCAGTGAAGGTATTTCATAAACGACGATCCTTTTACAAGCATTTATCATTTTCAAAGCAGCTTTAACTAAATCCATCGTAAATAATCAGAATGCATCTGATCTGCTAAGCAAAACGATTATAAATCAAGCTTGATCAACGTCAATCACATTGATTATGAAACCCTTTCAAATCCAGCTATGCGTGTGTACATGCATACGTAATCCTTAATCTCCGTCAATTGCACTAAATGCACGATGAAATCTGCACGCCATCATTTTCAATGCATAAAACACATCCGATTGTTCATAACTCTCAATTTTGAAAAAGTTCGAAGCCAACAAATACCTTTTTGGCATCGCAAATGAGTGCAAAAGCGCTGATGGCGATAAGCAAAACGGCAAGAATCCTCATCTTGTTGTGTGGAGCAGTTGTGAGGTGAACGAATAAAATTGGCTGGACGATAGCGCAGAACAAGGAGAAAGGCGTATGGATGGATGAATTCCTTCCGAAACCTTCAACGAACTGACTTTTGATGAGGTGAATGAATGAACTGAGATCTGCTAAAGAGATAACTCCTGAGGATATATAATAGCGCTCTATAGATCTATCTAGCCCTCGTAGTCCTCTTCCTTCAAGTGTATCTTCTTGTATACATAAGATGGCCACATCCCATGCCCTACTACCTGTTTTTAGCAGGCAGTTCAAGTCTGCCACGCCTTTCTTTCATCTGTTGATTCAATAATCTGTAGCTATCGATGGATCTATCAATATCCGTTTAGTTGGCTCATTAATCAATGTCATCGCTGAATAGTAACCTGACGATACACTTAAATCTCACTCTTCAAAACACTTTTCCACAATTTCTTCTAAATTGATTGCTAACGAAAAATTTCGCTCCGACTGAAAAAATTGATATAAATTGGATAAATTTTTTAGATTTGATTGGTCGAAGAAGAATCACAGTGAATTGTGAAAAAAATTGAAATTAGTGTGATAAATTTCATTTGAATGATGATTTTTCATTGAGGAAAAAATAATTTTCTGCTATGTTTTTTTGGTTGTCGTAGACTAGCACACACACAAACCAACTTCTAATTTCACAAGCTGGTGATTCGGACTATTCATTAAATTTCTACACAATACTGTGTTTATCGCAGTTTTTCTTCCAACCATAACATACAATGCACTTTTTTCCTTGACGTGCATCCCTTCAAATGCACGTCAAGAAAATCAACAGCACAGCTGTAGGTAATCCAAAACAAAAACTACTTCAAAAATATATTTTATCATCAACTACCAAACGTCTCAACTAAAAATAAAATCATTCGTGATTAATGTAAACAATCAATTGTTTGCCATATTAACGGTCATTAAAAACGATCAAATTCATCAACGAACGCTTCTAAAAATAATCACCCTCTGTGCAAATCGCTAAGAACAGTTGCGAGTTCGATTACTACGGTGACTGTAATCGCTCTCTATCAATATCTTTATCAACTATTAACATGTCAATAAATTAATCATGCCATGCACCTCAAAAAACACCGACTGCACAATGTGAGAAATTCTTTTGCCTCAATAAAAAAATTCCGTGCTGATTTGAATTGTTCACTTTTCAAAGAGTTTTTTTCTTTTTCCTTAGCGAATTCAAGTTGATCCAACCGAATAATTATCTTCATAAATTTTTGCAAATCGATGAGGAATAAAGTTGACTTTGCAAATCCAGTTGTCCAATGTGCTCTTGTTCACATGCTTAATCGCCTCAAAAGAATCAGATGTGCACATGAATTAAAGAAAACTTCTTCGACTAAAATTCTGTAACGCATTCGGGATTGGAAGGAAAGAAATCGGACATTAGGGAACATCAAATTGTGATACTATCCGTAATATATACCTTCATCTTCATGAATAAAACTTTTGATATGGATTTACAAATCACTCCATTTAAAGAGCTAAATTCAGAATGAAGTAAAATCCATATGTTAAGAATGGTCATATCGTTACGATACGTTGCCATATCTGTACGTTTTTCATTCGTAGTTAATGACCTGTCCAAGTTGTTAGATACTTGGATGTGTAAGCATCGAGCGATGTGCCGTTGTTGTTCAGTGAAGACAGACAAATAGGATATCATAACAAGAACTATTACAAAAAGTGAACACCACTGACTAAAAAAAAGTTTCTTTACGAAACAACTGCTGCATTTCACAACCAGCTCGATATGATGAAGTAACTTCATTTGAATATTTTAATGCGCTGAAAGTCTTGTGTATTGTCATCATCAGTCATATATTCGGGCTACTAGCATTGCTTTTAATGCTGGTATCATTGAATCATGCTCATTGACTGCAAAGCATTGTCAATAAACATTATCATTTCAACCCAATCAACTTAATGATCGATTCTGATTGGCTAGATCATATCACATTTGCTAGATCATTAGCATGTTTTTCAGATTCTTGCTGAATCATTTAACCAAAGCAAGTTAAAAAAAGCTGATTTTACTTTCATTGTTGCTGTATTTTCATGAGACTGATTTTTTGAGTTGGATGAATGGGTATTCAAAAATTTTATAACACTGTCAGTTTTCAAACCTGTCAGTTTTCATTAGTTGTTAACGCTCGTTTTCAACTCAGCTCTACTCTAAATCACTTCAAAATAGAAACGAGGAGTTATGAGTAGTCAATGTTGGGCATCAATACAACTGAGCATATGTCCATTTTCCGCAATGCTCTAACGAATAAATTCGCCTCGTTTTATACGATGAATTGATCGCCCTTTCAGCAGTAACACATCAGTATGATTGACACTAGCTAATCAAATGACTCGGTACGAATAAACTTAACAACAGTAACACCTGACCGAATTGTAAATTAGATCAGTTGAAGAAGCACATCGGTGCAACGCAAAAAAANAAAAAAAGATCTTATTGTGTTCAGCGTTAAAGCTAGTGTTAAAGCACTCAAAAAGTCGACAATCACTGTGGTCGCGTTCATTCACAGGTGATTCTCGTGTGCATTATGATGATTTGTTGTTTTTAGATGCTATGCAAATGTTATGGATGGGTGATATTATAGTTCTATAACAAAGTTTAGTTTTACTATTCCAGCAACTGACAGTTCCGTCATCAGCACAACAATTGCATTACAATGCATCCAGCGTTCAAATTTCATTCGCTAGCAAACGTTCTGGATGTATCTATGATTGTAGAAAGTATTGTTATTGAATACTGCAATTGAAAGGTTTATAAATATTTACGAGCACTTGTTGAAAGTTTATCGTAGGCATCTATTAGACCGCAGATCACTAGTGAATTATAGGCCTGACTAGTTTTATCTATATTCAACCTTACACAATTTGAAATGAACGCAGTTCTGGAGCTGAGTAAGAATCGATGCCTTCCAATCTGGACTAGGCGCTTTTGAAGCCTTACAAAGATACAAAGTATAAAGCCAATACGAGTTCCAAGTATCATTGTGTAATTCACAAAAAATGAAATTAATCATATGCAGAATTGTTGTTGTAAATAGCCGATGATGAACGATTGGCAATTGTCTTGAAGAATTCTCAAAACATTTTCTGCAATCATTTTACTACACTGCTCATATTTTTTATCAACAATTTTTTTGGGCAAATGTTCCCCGCAAATTAACACCTCATTACTGCTTGTTCTGTAGTCAGTTGTCAAAATTTATTGACTTTCGCCTATGAGTACTTTAAAGCAATACGCTGATAGGATATGCTGATATGATAGTACAATATGCTGATGCATTATGCTGTGATGAGTAGAATATGCTGATATGATGTGTTACGATAAGTACAATATGCTGATATGTTATGTTACGATATGATATGATAGAAGTGCAAAGGATAGGGGAACGGATGGAATCGCTCAGTGAATATTAGTTTACTGGATAAATACCGTCTAATATCTGGTTATTGAACGTCTCACATGTAAAGATATCTTTTTATCTCATCTGCTACAAGAACATCTTCCACAATCGTAAGCTCTAAATTATCGTTTGCGTGTCGTTCGCACCAAACTAAAGCGAGTGATCAGTTGTGCTGTGCCCATCAAGGGTCAGCTGCTCTCGTTTTATAGTTTTAGTTTAAAACTTTATCACACTTCATTATATCGCGCTTTCAAGCAGGAGTAAGAGAGAATGTGGAATTTAGGTGTTATTCCAAGAATGAGAATGGGGTTGAGATGAGCAACTGAGGGTATTTTATCGCATTTTATCATCGCAGTGCTTAATAATCATCCTTGCAATCAACTGGTATTATAAACAGCGTTCACTCCAGTTGGAGCTTAGAATTACCGATTTGAGTCAAATTGCTGCGTGAATCTCCTAGTTGAGGGAATCACAGATGTACGATTTTCCAAAAAACGTCAATGTTTAATAAGGTATCTTTTTTTNTTTTTTTACCAATCATAATGAATTCATTCATAATGAATCGAACTGCTTCAATGTGCCAGCAATTGAGCATAATCAAAATGCTCAACGGAAAATGAAGAGTTGATCGATGGAGAATATCACAGATTACGACAGTTTTTTTTGGTGCGTTCACTATGACGCTCCGAGGCACTCAACAAGTAATCCATCAATGAAAATCCTCGCAAGTCGTATTGCTATCAATATATGATATCACGAATATGAGAAGCAGTCTATATGCTAATAGGTTGATTTGCATACAGAAACAACGGCGACATTGTATGAAATCGATATCAGAATCATTGAGACACATCACATCGTTGGCCATATCCACTTGCTGCACAAAGAAGCATTCGTTTCTTTGCTTCACTTCAGCACATCGTTTATCTTCCATAGCGCTATCCGATAAAATTATATCACATTACGTTAAACTGTCGTTGATTCAGTTCATAGATCCATCAACGCCTTCGTTTCTCGAGATGCAATACAGATATTGATATTTCACCAGAAAGCACTATTACCGTCATTATTATTACTATGGATTTGACACTGCTGTTATTATCACGTTTCACCTTCATAGCATGAACTACGCATAGGGCAGCTAGCCACATCTGTACGAGTAATCATAAACAGAATATTTTTCGTTGTTTTGTCCTTGTTGTGATGTGTCGCTGTTCGAAGGGTCAACTTTGTAGCAATAAACTGGATGAATCTCTCGATTCGAACGGTCAACTGAACTAAACCGGTGAAATTTTTGATTTTGAAGGTTTGTTGATGGTACTTTGCATGCAACACACTGTCGGTTGCACTTGAAGCAAATTATATTCTGGCTTGGACTTGATACGATCAAAAATGAATTGGATGTAATGAACCTGTTCGAATGATAAAATGGCAACAACGAGATGGAAATCTGGAGGCAAGAAACTTTTTTGAACGATGCACAACAATGCAGAAATTTCATCTTGACGTAGAAATTGGTGTTGTTTAATCGGGGATTCAGCAGAAATTCAGATAGGAATCTCTCTGAATGAGCGACTGAATCTCGCTTGCTAGTGATCCGTAATTATCGATCACTCTTTATGCGAAGCCATTTTGGATAAGATGGAATTTGACTCGAGAAGAGTCAACTCGGGAATTTGTTTTTCGTTGGAGGATAAAATTCAGACGGTATTAAACACCATTTGCAATTACTAGCTCCCATTAAGACCTCTTCCATCGTCTTTCTTGATTAAACATACAACAATATCGATGCGATAGTATGATTTGCCACTTTTTTTATCTAGTGAAACATCTAAACAAAAAAAAGTGACAATGGCAATTCATTCCTTGCATAATACACTCATCGACGTTCGGCTTCATCTTCTTCACATACAGCACCAACTTCGTCTGCTCGATTGAACACCCATTTCGAGTTTCAACGCCTCTTGTAGATCATCTTCTTCTCGTTGCTGTAACCTCCTGAAATGCTCGTCTCAGATATAACCTCAAAATCAATCTCCAGTGCCAAAAATTCTCGCAAAACTTCAGCGATATTATTCAAATTAGCAATTTGAGATGCTGATAGATTGAATGAAACCGTAACATTCCTCTAAAACTTCTTCCAGTAAACTACGAAAGAGGACGTGAAAATGTGAACCGAGAGTCTTACATTGCAACAGCTCGCATGCATTCGTTCACATTATAACCGGTAAAAGCACTCGTCTCGAAGAACAACATATTGAATTCCTGAAAAATGGAAAAAAATCTCGCTTATCAGCTATTCAGAGATGAAATAAGAGGGAAACGCGAGGTGGCACATCGAATGCATTCGGTCACTGAAATGACACACACTCTCTGCACTAATCAACAGCGATTAGAACGAAGAAGAAAGCGTGAAAAAGACTGGCATGCATAGTGCAATGAATGAGTGTAGCATGCAAGATTGATGAAGGCATCGAAATGAGGTGCGATTTTCTCTTCGGAGAGAATGCGAGTTTAATGAAATTTCGAGGAAAGCAATGATATTTTCACATGGACGCTAAAAAAATTGAGATATCCATTAGATGGCGTTGAAATGATGGAACATCAAAGAAAAACTTTCAAACTATAAAGAATAAATGAAGATAAAAAAGATAACATTCAAAAAAACTGTGATGAATATAAAACCAGTAACGATGATAATAATGATAACAATTATAGCAATGATAAAAGGAAGAATAATACTAACAAAGCAAATGAGAACACGAACGAAAATAAGAATACTACTAATATTAACAGCAATCATCAAAAAATGATTTTATCAGTAACAGGTGATGCTTTGAATGACTAATTATGATTAAAATACGAATTGATTATAAGTATTAGAATATGACTAACCTCAGCGAGTTTTTGACCGTGCTTAAATGTCAGTGCGTGTGTATGATCGCTACCGAATAAATCAACCTGAAATTTGAACAATCTTAATTAATGAAAACATTTTTTAAGCGACAGCCATCTCGATACAAACAATGATAACAACACCAACGATAACACATAATAACAATAACAATAATAATTTTCATCATATCACTGATGAAAATAACAACAGCAGTGATATTTATGATAGGCATAAACGAATTGAAATGACACCGAGCTGACCTTATTGCCGACCAGGCACATGACACACGCTTCATCCACACCGTTCTTAACTGAATCAATCCAATTTCGAACATGCAAAAAGGACTGCTCTGATGTCACGTCGTACATCAAAATAACACCGTCTGCTTTACGAAAGTACTGCTTTGTGATACTTCGAAATCTGAATTCACTGGGACATCACCAGCAAAAACAAAAGCAATAAAACTGCTAGGCCGCTTCAGTGATCAGCTCTAAATGGCGAACGATATCAAAAACCCGGCAAATATCTCCACTTCATAAGATAATTTAGAGTACTACTTTAAATTATCGCGTTATCAATGTCATCTATGAAATGGAGTTGAGTGTGAGCAGAATTCACTAAATGATGATCAAATAATCACTTAAGTCAGGGTTTTCCATCCGGGAATGCCCGCACCTCCAACGGTTGCGAGATATTATCCAGTATAAAGAATAAAACCTTATGTTGCATAAGATTTTATTTTTTATGTATAAAAGTAGACGAGGTACATTAAATTAGTACTTCAAAGTAGAAAAGCTGATACATAGTCTAATAGTTTACACTTATCTACACTACAGACACTCACCGTAGCGGATGGGAGATACAAAGTGGATGTTGTAAGTGGTTCGAGGACATTTTAACTAGTTTTGTAGGAGGTGTAAGGACATCCTAAAGTTTTTTAAGGAGCGCAGGGGATGGGGGTGGGGGAAGGTTGGGAACCACTGCTATAGAGCTATCATGAGTGTCATTTTCTAACTACCCGTATCCTCAGGTTCGCCCAGCAACCGATGAGTTCTTTCTAAAATCGATTCCAGGAGATTCTCTAGTTTCAGAAAAACATATATGTTGTCGAGCGATCTTGCGCATTTCCATTGGATACAGATCAAATAAACTAGGTGCGTCATACAGCTAAGCGATTTCATCACTATAGAGCGATCAGGGATATCATATATTCAAACTACCCGTATCCTCAGGTTTGCCCAGTAACCCACGAGTTCTTTTCAAAATCGAATCCAGGAGATTCTCTAGTTTCAGACAAGCATATATGTTGTCGAGCGATTTTGCATATTTCCGTTAGATGCTGATCAAATGATCTAGGCATGTCATAAAGCTAAGCGATTTCACTACTATACAGCCTATAGCAGGGTTTCTCAATCGGGATTGCTCGCACTCCACAAAGGTGCGACAGAATTTCTTATTTTATACATTGAAATACCCGAGGACTGATTTCAATCCATAAATGTGTTTTAAGAGTTAGCAAACGAAACGGCTCACCTCTCCTGTCCGGCTGTATCCCACAATTGCACAGCAATAACCCGGTTCTGTAGCCGAATAGTTTTGACAGTGAAGTCGACACCGATTGTTGCGTTGAATAACGGTTTGAAGCGATTATGACAGAAACGGTGCAAGAAGCACGTCTTACCAACCGCTGAATCACCAACGAAGACCACTTTGAAAATGCGTTCAGGTGATGAATAGTTCGGTGGTCGAGGCTGAAAACACTGGTGATGCTCTCACTAATAATGTTAACAATAAAGATACCAATAAAGATGCTATAATAACAATAATGACAAGTAATATATGATAATGGATCAAGAGGAAGGATCAAGAAGGAAGTCTAGGAAGTGCAGGAAATGGATCAAGATAATCACAGAAACAACGAATCACTGCCCATAAACGACACTTCGATAATCGCCCACTCACCTCGCATGGTGGAGCGTCTTGGTTTGTTACACCAACTTCACGAAGTTCCTGCAATCAATTCTCACTCAACTTATGGTCCAACTGATACGGTTACGAATTCATTACTTCAATCACTAGTATGTACACTAATTAACTATAAATAAATTCTGTGGGTGTAAACACTTATGACGAAACCGTCAAGATAATAAACACATCATAAAGTAATGTTACCACTCCAGAATTTGATGAATAATATTGCTCTTCTTCAATTACGTTTCCAATAGATGAATTATTATCCATGGCATATCATATTCGGCGAAATAACGAACATTCACTGATCACTAATCAGAATTCTCAGTCCATAGCAAAGAATCAAATTGTGGTCGTAACATTTCAATTAGATAAACTACTCTCTCACACGAATGGTCGAAATCTCATAATGAGAAATGCCATTACTGTCAACTAATTGAATGAATATTCGTTAATATAATGAGGATGATGTATTTGTCCTTATATAATAAGATGATGATTAACGATGCGTTTCCAAACGCAGATATAAAGCAGCCAATGAAATTCGAGAGCTTAACAAGCGACTAAAAAGACAGAACGATTGGAATAACGAGATGAATTAGGTGAAAACAAACTTCTGCTAGTGAACGTGATCCAGGCGATTTGGCATCTGGATGATATAAACTCCTACGGAGATCAACCTGACTTGATGACTCGCGTTTCACTAGACTATCCAACTGAAATTTGCATTCTTTCACGAAACTTAGTTAAGATGACCATAAAACAGTCAACTCAACTGACTAAAATTGAAACTGAACGGAATATTCCTTTGCGTGCACGCTAACTGTAAAACGAATTGGCTTCGATAGTGGACACGATGAAGTGAAATGGNATCTTGAAATACCGCTAAGTTTTCACGCATATTCCGATTCGTTTCTGATTTCACTTCTCTGCATATAGGATCGGTCACATCCGCGAGTTTATTCTCAACCGAAAAAGGATACTCTTGCTGTTCTAGATGCTGTCGCTGTTGTTGCTGTTTCTGTTGTTCGATTAGTTGATTAAGACTGAAACGATCACTTTTAATAGACTTCGAGCATTTTTTTAAAGATTACATCTCAGCAGATCAAAATATCACTCGGAAATCCCTCGAAATACAATTTCAATAAAACGTAAAAAACTCGTCCGGCCAAATGATGATGACATTTCAACGTTTCAACTTAATTACGCAATGAAATCTAATAGTTGACTCTGCGAAACAAGCGTAAATATAACCATCGTAAATACGAATGATGCATGTAAAATAAATTATATTGATCCATTTCCTCAATTAAACGAACAGCTCCTGAATGTTTGCAAAACGAAGAAATAACGTAATTATTTTTCCAGAGGACAACTTCGAAATGAAATAGAGCAAATGACAAATTCTAAATGCCAAATCAACTTCTGCACTTTTCGTATTTTGCACTTGAAAATACCTTCATGTACGCATTTCACAATGAAAATGTAACTGACTGCTAGATGAGTGGCGCTCAGTTTAGACATGCTCAGGTTAATGCTTCTCAAATTATGAGGCTGAGTCTTTGATTGGATGGACAAAGGTTGAAGTTTGACTCAGACTTATCATCGAATATTATAAGTGAACGACAAGAGATCATACTTTTCGGTTTCTTTCTTCAACAGTTCGCCTTCTGCTCGACCGATTTGCTCGGTTCGAAGTTCGTCTTGAAGTGAACCGTCAAAATTTTCAATGGAATCTCCTTCTTGTGTTCGGAGATGAATGTCTTCAGTGAGTCGTTCTCCTTCTTCTCTATCACTGCTGCTATTATTGTCGGAAATATTTGCCGTGTCAGTGGTATCTGAGTGTGCGATGTTCTCATCAGTCACATCGTCGTTGTTCAGAATCGAATAATTATCCCCAGAGTGTTGAGTGCTGCTGAATGGTAGCGATCGGGACAGCACTCCAGATTCCTACAATTCAAGTAAATCCTTAAACGACAATTCAGTATACACCTAAAGATGAATATCACTTGAAGCATGCTTGCAGATGATGGATTATCAGAGGCTTGAATCGTCGTTGTACGAGACATAAAACAATGAAAATTTACGATTAAATGTGAGAAATGGCAATAATATGGTGATAATATCAAACTTATACACCTATGCATATGATTAGAGATCTGAAACTTATACACCTACATTGGAGATGCTCTTGTTCAGGAAAAGGTTTCATCGGGAGACGAGCGATCTAAATGTTGATGAATCCTTTCAAGTGCAAATTACTAAACGCTATGAGCATGGAAAATTCGCGAGAAAGCCTTTGAAGTAGTGAGATTTGATGAATTTTTGCGCTTCACGTATTATCTTTGAACAGTTTATTGATCGCCTCATATCTGGTAAATATGCTCAACTGCCTCGCGATGGATGGATGCTACAATAAGAAACGAATCAAAATCATTATGCGTTGAGGAAATTAGAATATTATTCATAAGAAATTCAGTAGAATAATCTAGTCGTGGTCATTGGTGCAATCTAAATAGGCTTATGAATGGACGCATAGATAAATGAAAAGCGAATTATGGTTTTTTTTCTTGGAATCAACTGTAGTCGGCAGCTGCCATTTATAACTGCTGCTGCTGCTGCTCCTTTTCATGAAATGACATCATTTCGATTGATTATATATGAGCAGAATAAAACCTAGTTCAATATTTTGTTAGATGCTCTTTTTTGGGGGTGAAATATGAAATGAATTATTTATTTGTAACGTGTGAACTGAATCTGCAATGGACATGATCAATATTAGGTGGCAATTCAAAGAATTCGATGAACAAAAAGCAAGATAGTCCATAGCGTATTATTGATAATATCAATGGTATCATGCAATCTCATTAGTTACCACTTTACAATACGCTTCTTCATTACAAAGTGTCGGTTAATGTGATAAAATCACTTCGCATTAACTACAATATGAAGTATGAAGTAACAATAATCCTAAAATGAGAATATGATGAAGTGATATCGAATGCTATGAATTGCTCACATTATAGCAATATAAACTCATCAAGTGTTTAGTGTTAATTAACCGAAAGGTATATGGACTCGTATTTAATTGCTAGACACATTCAGCATCCAATATACGCTTGGGGTCGATGGCATCACTCAGTAAGGATGGCAGGCAGCAGTTTCATAATAAATGAGTTGAGGGCGTATCGAATATGACGTCAAATGAACCTAAAACGCCTGGAAATTATCTCTTATCCCTACTCTTTTACTCTTCAGAAATGAAAAAAAAAAGACTCCATCAACTTTAATTACTGTTGTTTTCGTCTGTTCGTTTGCTAGGAAAAAATTCGAGACATTATCATGAAAGCGATTTCATGCTGTTCAACAAGAACACACAATTGACAAGTGCTCAGTTGAGCAAAGCTTCGGATATTGAGTTGTTCCTGACGAGACCAATGAAAAACAGCCAACTGCATTGGATTGCGCACTTCCTCCTTAGTCTCCGAATGGCGATATCCGTTTTCGAAGATCCTCAAGATCAGTGAAATGTCAGCAGAAACGATATCAGACAAAGTTTTAGTTAGTGCAAAATAATGGTGTTGTAGAGCAAAACAAAAAAGTGCATGTGGATATAAGAGCTACTCGAAATGCGTTCAATGCATAATTTTTTATGGGAATGCTTTCACATAACTCATCTGAATGGAGTTCATCATGGGACCAAATGATTTATCATTATTATTTTTTGTTTGTAAATACATTTTTGCTGTTGTTTGTGAGTTTATCATTATTTTTGTTTGTGAAATTTATGAGTGAACGCATTTCGCGTTCTTGCTTATGTGATAGATGAAACACGGTTTTCTTAATCCTCATTTAAATTTATGACCATGTTCTTCAACTCAAAAAAGTCAAGTTTCTTGTGAACATAAATTATATTCGTTTTGGTATATGGCAATTTCAAAATGTTTTCTTCATGTTCTATCCGCTAGACGTTTTTTTTGAGAGAACTTGTGAAAGTGGATGACTTTATTGGAATTTTTTTCCATTTTTCATTCACTTCATTGTTTTGTCACAAGCGATCTGCAGTGTTCGGTTAACACCACCAACAAATTTTCACCTGACACAAAAACATGCAGACGGAAGAGATCATTGAGCAAATCCATAGAATTAAGTAGACAATCACCTTTACAAATGGCAAATATTTCTTGATGCTCTGAAAATCATTTCCGCAGGAAAATATAAAATAATCTAACGACAAGTAATACAAAGTAATGTAATCTTTGATTTTCAGATATCGTTCACAATTTTCACGTTATTAACGTCTCGTTATTTATACGTTACCATTTTCAAACGTCCACAGCCAAGTTATCCTTTTCATCGTGAAATAATCGTACTCCGCCTTTATTACCTTCTCTTCCATATAAAACATCAAAATAAAATCGACTTCGGCCGCAGTCAAATTGAAAAAATGCCTTTTGGTTAATTGCTGCTGCAGCAGCAGCAAACTCATAGTTAAAGAGCGGAAACATCAAATTTCGAACTGCGTTCCCAATCAACTGTCAATTGAGCAGTAAGCCATCGGAGTATGAATGGCTAACGAGTTCATTGAAAGTTACCGAAGCGAACATTTGCAAAGCACCGAAAATCGACAGCTAAACCAACAGAAACAAACGAGCAATTCGTGATATTGGCCATAGTTTTGCGGATGATTCACCAGAGAAAATTTCCAAATTGAGCTCAAAAATGAGATTATCGAAGAACAAACTATCACAATTCACTATATATCGGCTTTTATCGAATAAACGAGTGATAGCAAGAAAGTCTGAATATTGATTCAGCAACAACTCTTCCTCTTAATCTCATCATGATCACCATACTACTGTTCACAAAGTTTTAGCAAACCGACGATGATGAACATGCTCATATAATCTCAACAAAACAATCAAGCATATCAGCTTAATGAAAAATCAGCTGAACAACCAAATGATTTACATTAATACGACATTGAAAAATTCATATGTTATTACATCAAAAAAATGCTGATCCCACAAAAACACTGCAAAGAAGGTCAAACATCTGCTTGTAAGAGTAAGAGCAGGATCAAATATCTGCTTGCATACATTCCATCTATTTTAATCATGTCGAAGATGTCACTCAATTCAATCGCTTTTCAATTTTGAGGAAATAAACAAGATACATAAGTCGGAAATTCATCCTCTTCACTCTTGTCAGAAACAACCAATATACTGATTAAAGACGATAATAATGAAGAAGAAGCATCAATTCTGAAGCCAGGAGAGCGGGCAGCATGAAGCAGTTGATACTCTTCAACGGAATAAATAAACTGAGTCAGTCATTAAGGAGTTTATGCAATTGCATGCCTTCTTGATGCTGATATCATGCTCATAGCCATGACATGATTATCGGTTTTGATATTGGTAGAGAGAGAGAAAGAGATTAAACCAATACTGCTTGCTATATTGTGGAATATGCGAGAATGCCTAATCATTGTTTGTTTCCCAATTGTCTGTTGTGCCTAATTTCCTTTTACTTCTTCTTAAAACCATCATCAAAATGAATGGAATAAAGCAGAACAACGGAATGCACATGCACACTCACTGAATCGTTCCACTTGTTTCAATGAATTAAGTAAGTCTCCAAAAAAAACCATAGCAGCGTTTCTTATGTTGGTAGTCTGTATAGCAAAATAAACAAATAAGACACTGGCTTGATAGAGAATTTCTTGAAATTTTCATTTTTACATTCCCTTCTTCTTTGTTATTCTCATCTTGATGAGGACTGACGAACAATGATGTGATTCGATGAAATTTTCGATTTTAGAATTTCAATTTCATCTTTTTATTCCCACTCTTCAACCATTATCTTTCAGTATATTTCTATGTTCACTTGAGAAATATTTCAATATGCTCAGAGAGACTGATTGAGGTTTTATTGTTGCACTTGAAAAATCTACACATCAAAAAGAAGCAACTGAACGGATTTGAAATGAAATAAAGAAATAAAATTTTGAAAATTTCAAGGATTGAGGTGAGAACCTTGTCGTGAATTCAATAAATTGAATTCAACTGGCAAAATTCTATCAAATCCGATTATGAGATAAGATATAAAAATAAAGACGAAGCAAACAAAAACGGTGGCAATGACGTGAGACGAGTGTCACGAGAAAACGAACTCTTCTGCCAACTTACGGTGTGGATTAGGGACGTCACGACAATAATGACGTCTAAAAAGTGGAAGCACAGAAATGGAAGCATTCAAGCTGAAATTCCACTTCATTTCAATTTATTCAATATATTTATTCAGGCGAACATGGACACATAATGCAAAGAATCGTAATTCTTTGAATGGTATCAGTGTGCGTACTCGACAAATTCATTAAAAAAAAAACGCCAATATACGCAAGACAGATAGGATGAAGACGATATCAAGAGTACCGTGAGCCTAAACTTCAGAAAATCCTCACTGACTGAGTTAAATCTTACCGAATTTGGTGTCGACAACGCCTTTGACTTGCCTTCCGTCTCACCGTTTTCTTCAGTCACACCGTGCAGTAGAACTGGTTCTGGAAAAAAAACCGTCAGATGATTTTCCGGGCATAATTGATCTCGGCTCAACAGTGTATTCTAAAATGCGGAAAAGAGCGCTTGTAAAGTTGCATTGACCACTTTTTCGTTTAGAGTATTTGCCGACACTATTCCAATCTCATTTATCTATTAGAAACTATTGATCTTGTGAGAATCTGAGATATTATTCTGAATTTTAGAAAGTTTAGGGGTTTTCATGGATGCGATCGTCCCATACATTGTGTCACAAATTCACGAACTTATTCTCTCAACGAACAACTCTTGACTGATAGTGACGGTACTCTCGACGGGTTTTGCACAATCCTGACTGTGATCGAAGAGTGATTCGAGTTTGGTCTCGGTTATTCCGGGGATCAGATCACAAA